ATCCATCAGTAAATTCTGTAACATAACTATTCTTTTTTTCACCACTACTGGTCTTTTGCTCTATTCTTGGAGCCCACCTCAGCAGGCTCTACTTTAAAATTCCTCCTCCACACGACAGCTAGAGTGATTTTTTTTCTTTCAAGACAAAGTTTCTCTGTGTAGCTTTGAAGTTTGTCCTAGAACTCACTCTGTAGACCACAATGGTCTTGAACTCACAGAGATGCCTGCCTCAGCCTCCTGAGTGCTGGGATTAAAGGGGTGTGCCACCATCACCTGTCTTAAGAAACAATGCTCCTGTGCTTAACAATTTCCTATACATTTTAGAAAAACCTCATAATTACATAAAATTTAAACTTTACTACTTCATCTACAAAGGCTTATTATATACTGATTACTTTGGTCTCTGCTCCCTCCTTCCCCACAACTCCACTCCTGTCATTCACTAATTTTGAGTTATATTAGCATTCTTTCTATTTCTTCTATATGCTGTGGTGAGCAGAACAATACCCTCAAAGATGTCCAGATTCTAATTACCAGAACTTGAGTATGTTCCTTTCCATGGCAAAAGACACTTTACAGATGTGATGAAATGAATTTAGAGCTAAAGAGGTAAGGGATCATCCATGTGTACCTAGTTGAATTAGCTTCCCAAAGATGCCAAAAATCAAGGACTTTGCTCTCTGATTGCTCTGAGGGATTTCCCTGTCTCCTTGAGCTCCCAGTGTTTGCTATCAGTCCTGTTTCCTTGGCTTGTGTCATCCCAGTCTCTGTCACACTATTCAGTCATCTTTCTGTGTCTTCATAATGTCTCTCCTCCATGCGTGTCCTGTGCGTACCCCAATACCTTCATTTCAACTCAAACACCTATCTGGAGCTTAATTCCAAATAAGGTCACATTTAGACGTACAGAAGGCTAGAACTTAAGCATATGCCCTTTGGAGATATGCTAACACCAACACAATCAGAAGGGTTTTCATAAATGAAAGGGTTGGTATGAGAGTGCACATTTTTAATTCCAGCTCTCAGGAGGCAGAGGCAGGAGGATCTCAGTGAGTTTAAGGCCAGTCTGGTCTACACAGCAACCTCCAGCACAGCTAGCACTATGATATAAAGCAGTGGTCTTCAACCTTGTGGGTCTCAACCTCTTTGAGAGGGGAATGAATAACCCTGTCACAGGGGTAGCCTAAGACCATTGAAAAACACAAATATTTACATTAAGATTTATAACGGCAGCAAAATTAGTCATAGAGTAGTAACAGAAATAATTTTATGATTGGGGGTCATAACATGAGCTATACTAAAGGGTTATAGCATTAGGAAGGTTGAGAACCACTGACACAGAGATGTTGTCTCACACCCCCATCCCAGGACAGAACAACAAAAACTCCAAACAATCAAGCAAGCAAGCAAACAAACAAACAAATAAACAAAATGAAAGCAAGAGGCTAGAGTGAGAAAGAGCCAGACTGATCCCTCCCAAGACTCAATGGTTCATAGCTGACTATGAAGTTGGAAGGACAGAACCCCTGGGAATTCAGGCATTAGTAAAGGTAATTCTCCCTGAGAACCTTCAGGCCTGCTGGCAGGTTGAGTCCAGTTCCACAGACTTCTGGGAATCACACCTGTAAAAGAATAAAGTCTGGAGCCACCAATCTATGGTGATTTGTTGTTAATAGCAAGGCAATACAAGTGACAGCTCATTGCTACTTTGGTTCTTTCACACAGACTGTAGTGTTCTATACTCACCTGGACACTTCCAACACGATGGGCTTGTCCTGTAGTTGGAGTCTCTGCTATCAGGGTTGTTATGGACTGAGTATTTGTGAGCATTCTCTCTGACTGCTATCTCTAAATCACAGCTCCCCTGTGTGGCGGTGGTATTTAGATGACGGCCTTTGGGACATGAGTAGGTCACTAAAGGTAAAAGCGCAGACACTTTTTTTTTCTTCATTCTGTGTTGTGTGAGAATGTAGCCAAGATGTTTACTCACAAAGTAGGAAGTGGAAGCCTCATCCAGACACCTGTACTTCTCCAGAGCTGTAAATGGCTATTGTTTAAGTCACTCAGTCTGTGATCCCTAAACTGATGGAGCTGGGAGTTACACCCTATCTTTTTATTATGGCCTTAGTATTGCTTTTTTTTTTTTTTTTTTTCCTTTTCTGAGGCAGGATTCCTCTGTAGCTTTGGAACCTGTCCTGGAACTAGCTCTTGTAGACCAGGCCTGCCTCTGCATCCATCCCAAGTGCTGGGATTAAAGACCTGTGCCACCACTGCCTGTTATTATTTTTCAGATGTTAGAATACTCAAAACTGAAGCGCACCTTGTTTCTCACCTTGTAAGCTCAGTATTTAGTGTCTGCTAACCAGCAGAAACTCGACAAGTATTTCTAAATACATGAACATGTGGCCGTTTACTCCATGTAAGGAAGTGCACGTGCACGATGGCACTTAACCCAGGCCCATGGGAGAGAATCCCTAGGACCACTCTAGCAAAAAAAAAAAAAAAAAAAAAAAAGTATCAAGTATAATGGCAAAGACCTTTTTTGGGGGGGGCAATAACTGTTTATAGGTATCATGTAAAGAAAATGAACTGTATTCAAATAAATGAAATAGCTGGTGTAAAACATAAAGTTTAAGAAGTAGCCAGGCCTGGCCAGGCCAGTAATCCCAGTTACTAAGGAGGCTGAGTGCAGGATTCCAAGTTCAAGCACTGCCTGAGGCAATTAGTGAGTTGGTGGCTCAAAATTTAGAGGGGGAAACAAAAGAGGCTAGCGATGTAGTGCTGTTGGCTTTCTCCTACCTGAGGCCACAGGTTTAACCCCCAGTACAAGCACATGAATAAAAAACAAGAGCTTACAAAGGAGGTCTATTGGCAGCAGTGGCACATAATCCTCCAAGGCCAGGCTGGACTAACAGGGTAGCTTCAGTTAGGCAGACTCCCTGTCTCACAATAAACAACAGAAAACAAAACCAAATAGGTATTTGCTAGTTCAATGTGTTTTCCCATAGCTAATTTGAGTGAAACCCCTCGCGTGGCTGAAGCTTTTACTTGCCTATGTACAACTGTTTACATGCTCCAAATTCCTGGGGAAGGCTTGACTTGCTCAGTTTCCCGGTTACTGGTCCCCTGAAAGGAGGTGACAGGTGACTTGAGTTGTCCTGTGTATATTAGCAATTCTTGTACTAATCGCCGAGTACCAGGTTATTTTTTCCTTGAATTATTTGTCTGGACTAGACCGTTTCTATAGTAACATCTTCATGTTACATGTTAACACCCCCCCCCTTTTTTTTGGTATTATCTGTGGACAAAACCCAAACCCTAACGATAATGCAAGAAGTTTCTCACATTCTGCATCCTACCCAGCCCTCCACAAGACTCCCCCAACCCATGACTCTGTCTTTTGAGTTTCACAAAGTCAAGCTCCTCCTGAGTTCTCCCACATACCTGTTCATCCTCCAGGTCTCAGCGATGCATCCTCCAGACAACTTAGTATCTCCTTTCCACAAATCAAAAGTGCTGGCATTTAGCTTCTCCTTTGTGTATGTATGCATGATTCTATGTGTCTTTATGTAGGACAGAGGTTGACACTGGGTGTCTTCCTTAACTGCTCTCTACTGATTTGGCTAGTCCAGCTAGCCAGTTTGCCCCAGGGATGGCTCCCTGTCCACCTCCCAAGCAATGGGACTAGAGGCAAGCAGCCTTCCCTCTCACCCATTTACTGAGGGACTTGAACACCAGACCTCAGACTTGTGTAGCAGGCCTTTTCTCCATTGAGTCATCTTCCCAGCCGGCATTCAGTTTTTCTCATTAGGTAAGCGCCCCCAGGTCAGCTTTACTACTGAATGCTCAGCACCCAACCCATTCCTGGCATATGGTAGAGGTGCACTTTCTTCAGTAAAAAATACTTGTGATAGCTTGCATTTGTCCTCTCAAACTGCATGAAAAGAAGCCCCAAATTCCTGCTAGTTAAGTGAGCTTCTGGGAGGGAACCACAATTAGCACTGACCCAGATGGCCAGAGCCTTTGACTTACAGGACTCCTTCATGTCAGGATATAGAAGGAGGCAATGACCAGATGCTAGTACTATGTTCTTTGACTTCAGTCTTCAGAACCACAAGACTTTTTATGACCTCAAAGTTTTTGAAGCAGGCCTTGAACTGCTGACCCTCCCACTCCAACCTCCCAAGTACTAGGGTTACAACATACTCAGTTCACACTCAATGTGCTGCTGGTAATTAAACCAAAGGTGTCATGTATGCTAGGTAAACATTCTACCAGCTGGGTTACATATCAGAGGTATTTTGTTATAAGGGACCAAAAGAATATTTACCAAGTAAATATTTACAATGCATTTTGCCTTTCTGCTTTTGTGTCTGTTTTTGCCTGAAAGATGAAATGAATGCAACAGAAAAGCCTCAGAAAAGAATGGTAGCCTGGAGTACACATCTAAAATCCAGCCCTGGGGAGATGAGGTTAGAAGCCAGCCTGAGCTAGAGTCAAATCCCATTCTCCCTCTTTTAGTCTCCACCGGAACCTATGCACACTTCATGCACATGAACTCACAGGCACTCACACACACATAAGAGGGAATTGGAGTGTGGTAGCACACCTTTAATCCCAGCATTCAGGAGGTTGAAGCTTGGATCCTTGAGTTCAAGGCCAGCCTGGTCTAGAGTGAGTTCCAGGTTGGCCAAACACAGATAAACCCTGTGTCAAAGAGGGGGGGGGGGGAGGCTCTGATGATTCCCAAATAAATGCCAAAAAACAAGCCAGTCAGCTTTAAGCTTTCTTGTTTTTCAGACTTCAGTCAGAAGACACCCCGAGTACCTAAGAGTAGCAAACCACCAGCACCCTCTACTACCCGTTAGCTTGTCTGTATAGGCAGACAAGACTCAATTCTCCAGAGACCAAAGGCTATCTAGATGGTCTCTCATAGATCTTAGAATTGCTCACCTCATTTACTGGGGGGGGGGGGGGGGGAAAAAAATCAAGACAGGAAATTGCCTTTAGGGACACTTTTACTTGGAAAATTACAACACTAGTACAAGTCAAGTCTTACACATTTAACATTTGCTGTTGAAAGCAATTCATAATATCAAAATTAATCATGTTTTACTTTTATCCTCACAAGAACACAAAAATGATAAAGGGGAACTTAAAACAGAAAAATTTAAAAAGGTAACACAACTTTTCTTAGTAGTCCTTGGGTGGTTCTGACAGAAGACTTTTCCATCTTTTGTTTTTTTGGAGACCTTGATCCAAAGTCTTGTTTGTTCCTAGTATCTGCTTCTGCCTCCCCCTCTATCAGATCGGCTTCCTCCACGGCCACCTCCTCTTGGTGCTCCACGGCTTGAACTGCTGTAGGAATCACGTGGAGGAGGGTACCCCCTTTCCATGGAAGGGGGGAGCCCCCGTTCTTGTCTGCCAACACGATCACGGCCACTTGAGTAGAGATCACTTCTGCTGCTTGAGTAACTGTCTCGACTTCCACCATAGCCATCACGTGAGCTGCTGTAATCATCATAACGACTGCTTCCTCCGTAAGATGGCGGCGGCCCTCGTGTAGGGGGTGCACTGCGCGAATTACCGTAACTCTCATATGAATCTCTGTAGGAACCTCCACTTGGATGATCTGAATAGTCACGATCCCGACCGTATCCATCTCTATCACCATAGCCTCTTGATGGGTAGTCGTCACGTGAACTGGAATGACTATAATCGCGGTATGTGTAATCTCTTGGTGGCGGCGCATAATCTCTGGTGTCACGGGAGCTTGGATAATCTCTGCTTGAATAGCTGTCTTTTGTAGAATATCCATCATCTCTTGGGGACAAATACACATCTCTTCGAGACGGCAGGGGTTCCCTTCGTGGAGGGCCTCCATAGCTATCTCTTCCACGTGACACTGGGGCTCTTCCGCCCATTCCACTGCTGCTTCGAACTGGTCCTGAAGGCGTTGATCTTTTAGGAGGGGGTCCCCCGCTTCGTGGTGGTGGTCCTCTTTTTACTGGAAGTGGTCCCCTTGAAGAACTCATGTTAAAGTTCATGGAATAACCACCATCATCCATGTATCCTCCACGAGAAGGGGGTCCCCTAGTTCCTCCACTTCCTCCTCGAAGACCTCTGGGAGGGCCTCTGCTTCTTGGAGGTGGAGGTGGTCCACGCCTGCCACTTTCAAATGATGGTTTGGTAGCTTGCTCCACCTTGATGGCTTTTCCATCCAAGGACTTTCCATTCATATCTCTAGCTGCATCTTTAGCATCTGCTGGGCTTTCGAAGGTGACGAAAGCAAATCCTCTTGATTTGTTGGTTTCACGGTCTTTCATCAAAAGTATTTCCACTATTCGTCCATACTTGCCAAACACTGCTTCAAGGGCTTTCTCATTTGTTTCTGTATTGAGCCCACCAATGAAGAGCTTTCCTGGGCGATCTGCTTCAACCATCTTTCCTTCCAGCTGAGAGTTGGAGGGGACTATGAAGGTCTCAAGCTCCTAGAAGCTTGCTGAAGGGCCAAGTAGCTCACCGGTGACAGCTGCTGGGTCTCAGAAGAAAACAGAAAAGCCACTAGGACTACTGCACATGAGTACCTGTCAATATTTTTGTATTAGTTTCCTCAGGCTGCTGTAACAATGCACTGTAAATGAGGGGAAGGGATTAAAAATATCCATTTTCTTATAGTTCAGGAAGTCATTGAATATGAAGGTGAGGTTCCTACCAGAAGCCTGAACAAAAATCTGTACCATGCCTCTCCTAGCTTCTAGTGGTTGTCAGCAATTCTTAGGAATCTCAAGCCAGTTTCTGCTTTCACCTTTACATAGTGCTTACACTCCACCTGCCTCTCATGCATACCTTCTTAAAAGGGCAATAGTCATTAGATTTGGGACCTGCCTCAATCTAGTATAACCTCTTCTTAGGTACCTACAAACATCTCATTTCTAAAAGAAGTCAAACTCTGAGGTTCAGGAAGACATGCCTTTTACAGGGTACATTACTGAACAGTGAACTTAATTTGGAGAAAGGATATATGCTCATATAATTTAAAGGAATCTGATCCATCATTTAGGATTACTGGGCAGGTTCTAACCCAAGGACAAGAGTCACTGTAATAAACATACAGAAAAAAAGGTAGTGTTGGCGATGGATGCAGAGTGAATGATGCAGCCACTAGAGACATATGCAGGGGAATGTAATGCCAAACCAGGAGGGACTGGAGGATCACAACATTAAAGCAAGGAAGCCAGGGAATACCAACTGCCACAAGCTGGAAAGGGCCCTCAGACACCTCCACCTTAGACTCTGCAACAGGAAAATAACGAATGTCTATATTGTCTGTCTGGGTGCATGCAGTTTTTTTGGGGGAGGGGGGAATATTTGTTATAGCAGCCCTAGCAAACTAATACAGTCCTTAACAATACAATTCTCAACGAACTACCGTTAAAATATTCTTTTATGAATTACGACTTTGCTTTAAACAGATCAAAGTCTCTAGAAAGAATTTGTAAGCAGGCTTACTGAAGCCAGCACTATCTCTGTAATGGCCTTTTAATTTGAGGCAGATTTTTTTTTTCTGAACCGAGAAAATGACTGTAAAAAAAAAAATCGCTGTAAATTTTCCTTCCTAAAACTCCACTTACCTTGTGCCTGCCTTCTAATAAGCTTTTTTTTTTTTTTTTTTATCACATTTCATGTACTTCTTTTGCCTGGTAAATTGTTTAACGACTCCCTATTAGGTTCTTTTATCTTGAGATTAGCTTTTCTTCGTGCTGCCTGATGTATTATTACCCCAGTGGGGGCTGTGCGACTGGGAACCGATAGCACAACTGCTTAAAGCAGTTTAGTTTTTGGATAGCGAGTCATGTCAGCAAGATAAAGTAAAATAGAGCAAATTGAAGCCGAGTCTCTTTCAAGCTTTGAATGCATCCAGAATGAGAGTCTGGTACAATTTCTCTCGAACGTTACGTTCCATAGTAAACTATTCAAGTAGCTGATACCAGGCTGCTTCAAAATGTCCCACAATACTTTGTTCCTTTCTTTCTTTGGGTGCATAAAGAGGAAGGGTAGATGCTCGGAAGACCATTCGTGAAACTATGCCATAGGTCGCCAGAATGCAAAGCAAGAAACCGGACCGGGGGGAGGGGGCGGACATCAGAACCTCCACCCTGGGTCTCGACCCTCACTGCTTTTGTTCTGCGTTCCCGGCCCCCTCAGTCGTCCTGTTGCTTTAGTGGTTCAGCTCCGGGGTCAGGCAAAGGCCCGCACCACGCGGCCTTCGGAATCGCCCGCCCACGCGCAGCACACGGGTGGGGAGGAGCCTGGGCCGCTTTCTTACCGCCCCCCCCAGGGAAGATTTGCCCCATCCCGGCCGTCCTCCCCACTCCCGGGGCGGGTTTTGGCCGGGAAGGCGGTCGGGCTGAAAGGCCCGGGCAGGCCACCGACCTGGCGGGAAGGCCCGGCCCGCCTTCCCCGCCTTCCCGCCGCCGCCGCCGCTGCGGGAAGGCGGGGGGCCTGCCGTCCCGGACGTCTGCTCGGCCACCGATTTTCAACCTACCCCCGGGGCTAACGCTTCCCCAACTAGGAAGCCGCTTTCCCGCGCCGGTCGCCACACGCGTCTGCCGCCGCCGCTCCCGCCGAGAACCAGAGGCCGCGAGTGGCTTCCCCTCCCCCCGCGCAACGTCAACGCGACGTCGGCCGTCGTCGTAATGCGCCGAGAATGAGCGCACCGGAACCTTCGGCGCCCGCGCGCGCAGCCGCAGCTACAGCGGAGCCCCGTGCCCTCAGGCGCGCAGCGCGCGTCCTCGGGCTCTGGGCGGAGCGAGACGAGCTCTCCGCGATGCACGCCGCGGGGCTCGGGAGGCCGTCAGTTTCCTGCAGCTACAGCACGAGGAGGCTGGGCGTCTGGGGCGCCACATTCCGCTGCCCCGCCGTGGACTTCCCCAAGCTTGACCACGGATGCATGGCAGCGGGTCCTGCTAGTGCAGCCGATGACTGGTCTCCCTTCCCTCCTCCTCGGTCTCCGGGTGCGCCCCATTCTACGTCCCCCGGATCCCGGATTCCTCCGCCCGAATGCGCGTCTATTCGGAGGCGCGTGGTAGTGATGGCGGCGCTCAGTGAGGCTTTCCTGTCACTGGATACTACTACTCCCAGCCCGCCTCGGAGCCGCCCGAGCCACCCCTCCGGTCTTTAGTTTACGAGTGGCAATTTGACTTGCTCTGCTGCATGTCTGGAGGCACCGAGGAAAGCGTGGAGACGCCCCGGGGATTCGGGAATCGCAGCTTGGAAAGCCAGCCAGCCAAACAAATAAACAAAACCCACCCACCCTAACAAATATGAGGCTGCTGGAGAGGGCGAGGAAAGAATGGTTCATGGTCGGCATAGTGGTGGCGATCGGCGCCGCTAAGCTGGAGCCGTCGGTCGGAGTGAACGGGGGTAAGTGCCGCACCTCTGCCCGCTGCGCCGCGCCGGCGGCTCCCGCTTCACAACTCCTCGGCGAGTCTGCGGGAGGGGCGGCCGCCCTGGTGCGGTGGGACCGCTGCCCTTCTCCGCCCCGACCGTCACAACTACGCTGTGCCTTTGCAGGTGGTTCTCACTTGCCAGCCCCGAAGGGGATCAGGAATGGGGCAGAGGAGTTGGAGTACAGGTTGCCTTTTCTGCAGGCGACCAATGACTTCTGCTCGGTGCCGGGAGTGAGGCTGCAGAAAATGAAACTTACACCTCATGCTTGCAGAGTAGCATCCCATCCCAAGGGACCTTAGGGTGCCAGGAGCCCTTATCTGTCCTGGAGTGCACCTCATTATCAAGTCTATTTCCGACTCCTCCCTTTATGCACCTTAAAAAAACAAAAAGGAGAGAGAGAAAAAAAAATTAAAGAGGGTGGGAAAGAAAGGACACTCTTTCCCCAAACTTCGATTTTCTGCCTCATTTGATGGGGGAGCGGTCGTGCCTTAGTAGCTGACGCTCCCAAACTCCCAAGCTGACTGACACGTTGCACTCCACGGGGCACTACTTCCGTGTGCTGCTGGGATTCAGTTGCTACTGCTGCGGTTAACAGATACAGACTGTGTTAAGCTATGCGCACTGTATGGTTTGACAAGGAAGTGTGGATGGGTTAAAACCCCACTCAAATCCCGAATACAATGGCCAGCTTTGTATCGTGGTCTGTGGACACTGGTGGGGACAGGGCTCGTGTCATTGGCCTTTTTACCCTCTCTCCCACTTTCAGACAGCCTTGTCCTGCTCTGCATACACATTAATTGAGTTTCTTCAGTTCATTTGTGTTTTTGACCTTGTGTGTTAGATCCCAAATTTGTTGACGGATAGAATACATAAATCACGTAGTGGGTCCAGGTAAGGACGGGAGAGAGCACACATAATTGTTTTCAAGTAGAAGGTGGGTATTTGAAATTGTACCCTTTTGTTAAAACCTTCAGGAAATTAATGCATGGTATCTCAGAATAGTAAGCGATTCCTACTTCTCCCTGCCTAGTTTCTCCATTTAGAAGAACTTCTGGTAATTACTTAACACAGTGATTGTGGATAAGAAAGCTCTTGATTATTTCATTTTTCTTCCTTTTAAAATTACATACTTTAAAAAGTTTAAATGCAACATATGGAATACATAGTTGTGACCACAATGCCATTGCTTATCCTTCTGAAGCTACCAGTTAGGTTTCCCCTTCCCCCAGGCAGGGTTTCTCTGTGTAGCCCTGGCTGGTCTTGAACTCAGATAGCCACAGCTCCTGTGGAGTTAGTTTTGATCCGCCCTTTCTGTGAGCTCTTGGGAAACTGAAGTTCTGTCCAGTGAAGAACCCCTTGTCTCTGGAGCGGTGGGGAGTGCAGTTCTGGATAGAGTCTTGGAAGTGACCCACAGCACACTGTACTGGTTATTGTGCTTGAGGCTAGATCTCTGGATTTGCTCAGTATTATATGAGAGGCCTTTCCTGGTGGTGTGTGGCCGGTAATTCTGCAGGTGCTGGGGCGGGAGACACTTGCCACGTGTCTTTTACCTTGAATTTTCTGACTACTATGTGGGTAGGATGGTTGTGGAATGCTTGGATCCGTTCTCTGGGGCTTCTTGATCTGGCAGAGACAAGATGGATTCTGTGATCTTGTTTGTACTGTTGTACTTCTTAGTGAACTTTTGTACATTATTGGGTCTTAAAATATGTTCAGTTTTTTAACAATCCTTATGGTATTTTTTTCAGCAATCACAAAGTAGAAGCAGAATATTCTCAGCTCTAAGTAACTTATATTTTAAACCATCATGCCACGTTATTTTTTGATTGGCATATTGGGGAGTGAACCCGGGACCTTGGCGCATACTTGTTAAACTCATTCTGTACCCTGAACCACATCCTCAGGTCCGTGTTGTGTGTGTGTCTGTGTGTGTGTCCCCGCCACGCCAGCCAGGTAACATGTCAGAGCTTAGTTAGGGAGAATGGATACTGGGCTTCCTCTTTTATCATAACAATGGCAAAAATCTATAATAATGGTTTTGGGAAAGAGAGAGACTATTAAAGATAAATAATCACTGTAAAGAGAAGACCTTGTAGAATAAAGACATTTTTATGGTTTTTAGTCCAGGCGAACAGGACAGAATCAGCTAAATGTTAGATACAATGTGATTCTTCTAGGACTTTTCTGTGTAAAAACTACTTGTCTTAAGAAGACCCAAACAATTGGGCTTTTCTGTGTGGTTGTTAGGTTGAGAGCTTTATTTTTTGTGACCGTTTCAGATGATGGTCCTACCAATAAAGCCTGTTTAATAAAAAAACAAAAATAGCATCAAGCAACACTTTCGCTGTGCCTTTACCAACAAGAATTAAAGAGCAAGGGCAGATGTGTCATGGAAAATTTCTCATAATCTTTCTTTCTTTTCTTTTTTTTTCTTTTTTTGGATTTTCGAGACAGGGTTTCTCTGTAGCTTTTGGTTCCTGTCCTGGAACTAGCTCAGGCTGGAACTAGGTCACAGAGATCCGCCAGCCTCTGCCTCCCTAGTGCTGGGATTAAAGGCGTGCGCCACCACCGCCCGGCTTCTTTGTTTTTTGAGACAGGTTCTTTTGGTCATTTTGTTTGTTTTATTTTACTAGTGCGGTGTTGAGCCAACTTTGTGCTGAGACTCATTATATCCTGAGCTACATAACCCCCTCCCCCTTCGCTGCCCCTCTCCTTCTTTTCTTTCAGTTCTTGCTTTTTAAATTAGTTACATTTCCTTAAAAATATAGAAGTAACTGGGCATGGTGGTACACGCCTTTAATCCCAGTGCTTGGGTGGATCTCTGTGAGTTCAAGGCCAGCCTGGTCTACAAAGTGAGTTCCAGGGCAGCCAGAGCTACAGAGAAACCTTCAAAACTACCCCCCATTCCCCACCCCATCCCCCCAAAAAACCAGAACAAGGTTGAAAATGAGAGCCTATTGGAGCCTGATTATGTAGGTCGGGGCACTGCTAGTGTGTCCAGCAGGACCCAGAGAGATATGAGCTCATGGGGTTTAGCTCTTTGGTCCTCATTTTGGCAAAAGCTAGGTGTGCTTCTGTGGAATTACACAGGGAAACTGTCTTTCCTACCTATGCCTTCAGTTATTTGCGAGATGTAAATCCTGGGTGTGTGTGTGGGGGGAGCATTTGTTTTTCCATTAGAAAAACAGAAAAGCCAGAGGTCGGTGGATCTGTGTGATTTCAAGGACAGCCTGATCTACAGAGTGAGTTCCAGGACAGCTGGAGATACACAGAGAAACCCTGTCTCGAAAAACAATAACAGAAACAAATTAAAAAAATTATGTTGAAGTATATTATCTACAAATATTAAGAATATTTTTATTTTAATTAATTTGTTCTTTTTTGAGACATCTCACAGTATAGCCCTGGCTGACCTAGCATTAGCTAGCTACACACACAGTCTAGGTTGGCCTTCTCACAGAGACCCTTCCATTTTCTAGGACTGAAAGCATATGCCCAAACCTTGCAATCTTAGGATATTTTAGATGATACTTGGGGCGAGATCGCCATAGAGGAGGAATGGCTTCTGTGGAATGTCACCTTTACAAAGAGTTTCTTTTTTCTTCCCTTAAAAGACTGGAAGAGGCAAGCAGGGTGGTGCTCTCTATTAATTCCATTGTTAGGGAGGCCAAGGCCAGCCTGGTCTAGATAGTGAGTTCCAGGACAGCCTGGGCTCTTTAGAAAGACCTTGTTTCAGAAAACAAATAGCAACAACAAAATAAGAAGATTGGATTTTCTAACTCAAAGTGGCTTCATTTTCTTAGTAGCCCATTTTTCTTTTGATTGTGTGAGTTCCTTCCATTTTTGGTGACTAATATTATTTGAACTGTGTAAAAGCAGAGGAAAACTCCAACTCATTGAGCACGGAAAAGGGACAAATTTATACCCTAGTTTCAGCTCATTCCTCTGTTTAAGATTTGCCGAGTTTTCATTTCTGTCCTGGGTGACCTCTCGTCCTGCAGAGTTCCCTAATTGGGACCACCTGTTAGTCTTAGAGTTGTGTGTGTGTGTGTGTGTGTTTGTCAAGAATGAGCTGGGTGGAGGTGGCGCACGCCTTTAATCCCAGCACTCGGGAGGCAGAGGCAGGCAGGCGGATCTCTGTGAGTTTGAGGAGCCTTGGGTCTCCCTAATCCCCTTCTTCCTGACAGGTGTGTTGTAAGTAGCCCTGGAATAGCCCCACTCCATTTCTTGATACAGTTATTTAGATGTGTGTCTAGTAGAACAAAAGTCTGTGTGGCTTGTCTCTGGAATTTGAACATTGAAAGTTCAGGACTAGTCCACTGAATTGAACGCCACATGTTACCTGTATACAAATGTCTTTGGACCTGGCTTTAGTTTTTGCATGTAACCATCTCGTAGATTCTCTCTGACCCTTCCTCTCAAGAAATTCTGGAAACGCCACTCTGGACTGACAAAAAGTGAGGGAGTGGGGGTGGGGAGTAAAAAAAGCTTGAGTAAAAAATTCAGATAGTTAAGATTTTTGGGAGCAGTCTAGTTTTAAATTAAATTTAAATTTTAAATTTTCTTGCCTTTAAGTTCTGCTTCTTAATGGACGTCTTTAGTTGTTGAAGTATGTACCTGTGCGGTATGGAGACAGATACTCTCACAGTTTGGAAGGCAGTGTGCCTTTTTAAATGTTGGTGCTGCGGTGGGGGGCTTTCATGCTTGCTCCTTGTCTCTGCTTTCCCAGTCTCAGCCCAAGGCTTTGTCTTAATGCCAGGCATATGGAATAGTTTCGTTTCTTTTATTTTAAGCTGTTCTACAAATATCAAAGATAGATCTTAACAAGTGTTTGTTGAACAACTTGAACAGTGATTTCTTTCAGTTTGATCATCCACCTATATCCCCAAAATATCAGTAGATATGGTAGAGGATTTTGGAGACTCTATCATTGTGATCATGTAATTTGACTTGAAGCAAACCCAGTCTAGCAGCAAATTGTCTAAGAAATACATCAGAATGACAGAAATTTATTCTCTCAGTTCTCTAGGCCAGACATCCAGTGGCTCTGGGAGAATCCTCTTTCTTGCTTCATTTAGCTAGTGTTCACAAGGACTTTTGACTTCCTTGACTGTGGTATCATAACTCCAACCATTGCCCTGTCTTTACTGTGTGTCTACACACAAACATGCCTCTCAGAATGCCAGTCACTGGGGCTGCCTGCCAGTGCTTGCCTGGCATGTGCGGGACCCCGGAGTTCATCCCTGTACTGCAAGCACACAAGCAGACAGGTAAACAAACATAGGTAGTTGAACCTGGCGGTGGTGGTGCACGCCTTTAATCCCAGCACTCGGGAGGCAGAGGCTAGCCTGGTCTAGAAGAGCTAGTTCCAAAACAGGAACCAAAAAAAGCTACAGAGAAACCCTGTCTCGAAAAATCAAAAAAACAAAAAAAAAAAAAACAAAAAAAAAACATAGGTAGTTGTTGGATAACTACTTACTTCACCCTCATCTAAACTTAACTTCCTCTAGTATAGTCCTATTTCCAAATATGGTCCCACTCACAGATACATTGATAATAGAAACGGTGTAGATATGCCTTTTAGGAACACAAGTACAGGGGAACCAAATGGTATATGCCCCAGCTTCTTCACCTGGGCACTGTTGACATTTTAGACATGATAATATCACTGGAGACGCCTCATGTGGGGAAAATGGGAAAAGTTTCTGTACCCAGATGAGCATCTTTACCTATGTAACAATCCAAATCAGACCAAATCAAACTGAACTAGAAAAATCCCAGGTTTAATGGATAAAACACTCCTGGATGATTTTCCAGCACCAGAGAGGAGACAGGAAAGGAAGACAGGCAAACCACATGTCTGTTTCCTGGGGGGCAGTTTAAGTACCTTGTGGGAGTAGTCTTGAGAATCTCTAGAGGAGGGGTCATCATTTGGTGGAGTTTCTGAGATACAGCAGGGTACGGAGAGAGTTGGGGTGGAGCTTCCCCTCAAACATCCCAGACTGATCTATGAATGCCAGCTGCTGAGGTGAAGCTTCCAGCAGAACAGGTCCAGCACTGGTGCTGAAAGTAGTCTTCTTTCAAACCAACTGATTTGCTGCGCATGCTCTTCTAACAGTGACTCATTGCTCTCTTTGTAGGACCACTGAAGCCAGAGATAACTGTGTCCTACATTGCTGTCGCTACGATCTTCTTTAACAGTGGACTGTCGTTAAAAACAGAGGTATTGTCACCTTGTGGGCACATGGAGAGAAGTGCAGAGACAATAACTTGCCCTGAGTGCTGGTCTCAGGCCTTTGTGAAGCTGTTTAGAGGCTTCACTGTGACAGAGTGACTTGGACAGCAGCGGGACTAGCTTACTGCTTCTGTATGGGGCCTGCAGAGTTGAGCACTCAGGTCCTAGACGTGGGATTACATGGAGTTTTTTTTTTTTTTTTGTATTTATTTAATTTTTTTTTCTAGAGAAAGGAGTTCTTTGTAACAGCCCTGGCTGTCCTGGAACTCACTTTGTAGACCAGGCTGGCTTTGAATTCATGGATGATTTTTTTTTTTTTTTTTTTTTTTTTTTTTTTTTTTTTTTTTTTTTTTTTTTTTTTTTTTTTTTTTTTTTTTTTTTAGTATTTGAGACAAGGTTTCTCTGTGTAACAGCTCTGGCTACCACTAAGCTGGATTCAAACTCCTAGAATTCTGCCTGGCCCTGCCTCCCAAGGACTGGGGTTAAAGGCATGTGTTACCACCTTGCTTGATGACCATTCTTTTAATGAAGACATTGGTATGAAAAATATCCTTATGAAGAGATGTAATCAAGGAAGCAGAAAGTAAGGCTGTAATACTGTAGCTCACCTGCTTCAGAAAAAAGATGTGTGGTAATACCAGTAATTAAAAATGTATTTTTAAGCCAGGTGTAGTGGCACATGCCCCTGGTTCTGCTGTCTTAGTCACTGTTCTGTTACTGTGAAGAGACACTGTGACCAAGGCAACTCCTAACAGAAAGCATTTAATTCGGGGTTTGCTTGCGGTTTCATAGGCTGAGTCCATTATCATGGTGGGAGCAGGGCGGCAGACAGGCAGGCGTGCTAGAGCAGTAGCTGGGAGCTTGCATATTGAGACAGCGGCCAGGAGGCAGGAGAGCTAACTGGGCATTTTGTGGGCTTTAGAAACCTCAAAGCCCACCCTCAGGGAAACACTTCTCCAGCAAAGCCACATCCTCCTCTTTCCCAAACAGTTCCACCACCTAGGGACCAAGCATTCAAATATGATCCTATGGGGCCACTGCCATTCAAACATCTGGTATTCAGGGTGCTGGGGTCAGGGGATTGCCATGAGTTTGAGGTTAGCTTGAGCTACACAAAACAAGAACCAAAACTAAGAAATAATTTTTCTTTTAAAAATTAGGCTTATTAGTGTGGTAACGGACTCCAGTACCTGTTTTATTGTCTTTCTCACATCATGGAGAAGACTGGTGCACCTGCCCTACTGAGGTATATGGAGGCTCTTTAGGTAGTTTGGTTTCTACAACTCTCGGGTGTTATCTCTTGGTCCTGGGCCTTATGTGATCTAGTCATGTTTGTTATACCATCTCTGAACTACTTTTTTTTTTTTTTTTTTTTTCGAGACAGGGTTTCTCTGTGGCTTTGGAGCCTGTCCTGGAACTCCCTTTGTAGACCAGGCTGGTCTCGAACTCACAGAGATCTGCCTGCCTCTGCCTCCCGAGTGCTGAGATTAAAGTGCACCACCATCGCCTGGCTCTGAACTACTTTTTAAAGGAGCAGAAGCACATTCCAGCGTTCTGAGAGTCGTTTTAGATTGTTCCTGAGAAGTCTCAATCTGTCATGCCTATGGGCGATGGTCGTCACTGATCCAGTGTCACGGAAATGGATTGTCTCAGAAGGAAAGATACAGAGAGCGGAATGAGAAAGATATGTGTGTTGAATTAGGAGCGGAGAGGCTGCGTCCCCGGCACCTGGCCGCCCGCGTGGCTAGCTTCTTATTGGCTAGCTCTTACATATTGTTCTAACCCATTTCTAATATTCTGTGTAGCCCACGAGGTGGCTTACCAGAGAAGATCTTAACCTGCGTCTGTCTGGAATGGGAGAATCATGGCGACTCCCTGACTCAGCTTCTTTTTCCCAGCATTCTGTTCTGTTTACTCCACCCACCTAAGGGTTGGCCTATCAAGGGGCTTAGGCAGTTTCTTTATTAATAAGAAATCACTCCCACATCATATGTGTCTTTCTTTACACCTAAACTGCAGGAAGAAAAGAGGAAATACTGGGTGGTTTCTCAGAACATCATAAAGTTCTAAAGGTATTAATTTCTAGAGGCTGGGAGATGGCTTGGTGAGTAAACGCAGAGTAAGTGTAAGGACGGGAGCGTGTGGTCCCAGAACCAGCTGTAATCTCAATGCAGGAGGTGGGCGTGGCATTCCCTGGTAAAATGGCTAGGTAAACCAGCCAAAGGGGAGTTCTGGCTTCATGGAGACACCTTGCCCCTCAGTAAACAAACTGAAGAGTGATTGAGAAAGACACAAGACATCAACCCCAGGCCTTCAGATGGAAGAGCATACATGTACACCCACATACATAAAAGGTGCATCTCCATGCATGTAAACATTTGTGTGTATACATGCACAGCACACACATAAATGTTCCAGAAATAAATATTATAACATCTTATTGTTTTTTTTTTAAATTTATTTATTATATATATAGTGTTCTGGGCACCAGATCTCATTATAGATGGGTGTGAACCATCATGTGGTTGCTGAGAATTGAACTGAGGACCTCCAGAACAGCAGTCAGTTCTCTTAACCTCTGAGCCATCTCTCCCACCCAACATTTTATTCTTATAGATGGCAGAATCTTATTCTAATGTGGATTTCAGCATTTTTGTTTTGTTTTTCCTTTTGTTCTTTTGAGACAGGGTTTCTCTGTGTAATTTGGTTGTCTCTGTAGACCAGGCTAGTTTTGAGCTCAGAGATCCACACTTGCCTCTGATTCCTGAGTGCTGGGATTAAAATGTCATCACAGTCTGAGTCTCTCTCTTTTTTTACTGGAAATGTCTTTAAGCTGGGCAGAGGTGGCACATGCCTTTAATCCCAGCACTTTTTAAAGATTTATTTATTTTTATTTTATGCCCATGGGCATTTTGTCTGTGTATGTCAGTGTACCCCATGCATGGAGGTGCTTGAGGCGGTCAGATTCCCTGGAACTTGTGCTGTATACAATACTGCCATGTTCACAACTGGGTCTTCTGGGATAGCAACCCATCCATATTGGAGTTTGTAGTAAAAGGAGCGGGCCACATCCCGCTGCCAGGCTAGCTTAACCCCCAAAATAACCACACAGAAATTGTGTTAATTAAATTACTTTAATTACAAGGCAGTTTCTTTATTCAACCAATAAAAACACAAATACAGCTGCTCTGAGTTCATGAATGTGACTGGCATGTCACATCTAGACGGCCCTTAGAGTCTTTCTGTCCCCTCTGTTGTGATAACCTCTGAGATGGAGCTAGTGTCTCGCTTAGGACCAGCGAGACACTGTTACTTGTTCTCAGCACTTTGAATAGTCATGGGTGTTTGCATTAGCGAATATCTGCTGTAGAAAGGGGCTCTGACCAAGCTTGAGAGCGGCATGAATCTATACCTATAAGTGTAAATATTTAGAAGGAAATTAGACAACACGTCTGTTTAGCAAAACCATAATAGATGCTCCCTCTGTGCCCATCTCCTCCCCCATAAGGCCCATGGCCTGCTAGCCATGGGCTTTTGACCAGGGTTACAGTGTCAGGCAAGAATTCCTTCCTATGGAACCGACCTTAAATCCAGGTCTAAGCACTGGGTTCCCTTCACAGGCGCCGTGCACATCCTGGAGAGGCAGGCTACCCAGGTCCAGGGCAGAGGCGCCATGGCTTTTACCCTCCAGGAGCCTGCATAGCTCCTTTTGGCGCTGTGAAAACTAGCTAGCAAGGAAGTTTTCAGTTCAGTTCAGTCTTGATCTGTCTGTATGCATACCCAAAGTACAGAGTGTCTTCAGCAATAGGCTGTTGCCCTGAGTTATTGTGGGTAGCCGAGAACAGTGCCAACAACTTGTGTTGTTTGATGACCTCTGGGGTTTCGTTGACCAAAAACTTGTAGGGAGATATCTCATACCTGGCCTTGAGATTTTCCTGTAATAACCCATGTCTTCTAGAGGAAGCATGGTCCACACATAAAGGGCACATCTTTTCAAACACTTTAAAAATTTATTTGTACAGATTTATTTATTTGTATTTTATGTGTGTGGGTATTTTGTATTCATCTATGTCTGTACACCGTGGTGTGTGTATTGCCCATGGAGGCTTAAGGAGGTTGTTGGTCCCCTGAGACTTGAGTTACAGATGCTTGTGAGCCACCATATGGTGCTGGGAACTGAACCTGGGTCCTCTAGAATAGCCACCGTTCTAACTGCTGAACCATCTTCCCAGCCCCCATACCGTCCTTTGCTTCCATTTCCCCACTTCTACCCCTGCTTTAAGCCGTCATCCCCAGTAACCCCCTTCTTTCACATCGCGTGTGTTCTGCTCTCTAGGTACATTCCATTTTTTAGCTATTGTCAGTAGAGCAGCTAGGATATATAAATATATCTAGGATAGAGATTTGCAAGTATTTCTGTGGTAGGATATGGATCCTCTGGGTATATGCGCAGGATCATAGCTAGGTCATACAGTAGGATTTTGGTGTGATCTGAGTGAAGATTGTGCTGGCGACTTTTTGTCGACTTGACACAGAACTAGAGTCACCTGGGAAGAGGGAACATATTTTAGGAGTGTTTCCATCGGGCTGCTTGTAGGCAAGTCTGGGGGAAGGTGGCATTTTCTTGATTAGTGATTAATGTGGGAAGGCCCACCCACTGTGGGTGGTGCCACCTCTGCATGGATGATGTAAGAAAGCAGGCCGAGCAAGCCTTGGGGAGCACACCAGTAAGCAGCACTGGTCTCTGCTCAGTTCCTGCTCCCGGTTCCTGGTTAAGCTTTGCCTAAATTCCCTCATGATGGCCTGTAACATGGACGCATAGGATGAAGTAACCTTTTCCTTCCCTTGTTGCCTTGCTCACAGTGTTTATCACAGCAATAGAAAGCAAACCCAGACAGACTAAAGCCAGTTACCTCCTTAGGTCCCCCTGTTAACAACATGGAGGACCGATTTTGTTCATTTTTTCATTCAGTAGTTATTAGGCTGTTATAAATCTCATTGGGGTGTTTTTGATATATGCAGTGTTAGTATGTAGTGTTTATAACTGACGAATTACATCCCAGCAATTCTAAATACCCTCATTGATGGATTGCCTTTCTGGAAATGACCGATGCAGGATTGTTTTCCTGTTCTGCTGACTGTAGGCCCGCTAGAAATGTTATTGACTCGAGGTAACCATTGGTAGAGGGAGTAGGCTTTTTCTCTGAGCACCCGGGTTCTACAGTTGGTTCTAAGTGTGGGCACGTGATGCAGAATGGTGTTGGCCATGATGAGGTGCAGGTCGGATGTGACGTGAGGTCTTTGTGCTGGCCTTGGCTATGCATCACCCACGTCCTCTGCTCAGGACATGGCTCTAACTGCGTCCCCTGGTACCTGTTTAATGGCGACAGCTATTATTTATGCCATGGGATATCTTGCAAGAGACTTCATGTCTCTTACTCCTCAGCTTCTTATTTAATGTTATTCTGTAAAGCAGCCAACTTTGTGGGTTGCAAGAGTTGGTGAAGGAAGAATGTCACAGCTATCAGCATTTCTCTAAGGACCAACTCCTGTCAGCACCTAGGAAGCCTTCAGAGTTACCCGGCTAATTTGGATGTAATGATGGATTGCTTTGATCCTGTATTTTATTGTGGTATATGAGTGGCCATCAAAGCCATTCCCTCCATCAAAGACCCTTTGCAAACCAGTACAACAGTCATTTTCAGAAGCCATTAAACTTAGATTGCATCGGGGAATAACGCTAGGCTGTCTCTAAGGCTGCTGCTTCAGGGCCAGGGTCAGTGGGAAGTAACAGTTTTGTAATTTATTTTTTACTTAATAATCCTAAATTAATTTTAACTGGATCTATGATTTTTATGATTATTATGTTCTATCTTATTTGGTCCTAGAATAGTGCGTTTTTGTTCACTGGAAATAGTAAATTATTGACTTGAGTTTATTTGAAAGCATTTTAGTTTGTCCTACTCAGCTTTGATTTATAGTGGTTTTTTTTTGTTGTTGTTGTTTTGTTTTTGTATTCGGAGACAGAGTTTCTCTGTAGCTTTGGTGTGTCCTGGAATTAGCTCTTGTAGAGCAGGTTAGCCTCGAACTCACAAAGATCCACCTGCTTCTGCCCTGCAAGTGCTGGGATTAAAGGCGTGTGCCACCATGCATGGCTGGTGTCAGATTTCTTAATGATGTAACTTTGAAGATTCTAATTCACTTTACAAGTGTTGTTTTCTTTTGGGTCCATCAAAGGATCTAGTGTGGTCCTAGTGGGCCTGATGGTCCCAGATTATCAGAACATTCCATACTTTCAAAGACATCTTGGACCAAAGAGGAATTGGTGCGTCTCCTCATGGGGAGGCAGAGGTGGGTGCTAAAGGGAGAGCGGATGCGTCTGCACTAGCCTGCTGTTACAGATGACCAGGTAGCTGTGCCTCTGAGGCGGAGGGTCTGTTGCACATTTTGAAATGCGCACATTAAAACTGGTGAGTGTGTGACTGCTTGCAAACCTTTGTCTTACGGGTGATTCCTGATGTATGTTGGGGGGTGCATGTGTGTGTGCTTGGAAGTCAGGACAGTTTTGGAAGTTGATTCTGTCTGTCCACCATGATCCTAGGGATCAAATCCAGAACCCCAGGCATGTACAGCAAATGTCTTTACCTGGTGAGCCGTCTCCCTGGCCCTTGCTTATTTTTTTTATTGTTTGTTTAATTTTGTTGTTTGACTTTTAAAAAGTCTATGCCCTTTCTACCATTTTTTTCTTTTTATTCATTTGTTTGTTTATTTATTTTTTTAAAGATTTATTTATTTATTTATTTATTTATTTATTTATTTATTTATTTATTATGTACGCAGTGTTCTGTCTGCATGTATACCTGCAGGGCAGAAGAGGGCACCAGATCTCATTATGGATGGTTGTGAGCCACCACGTAGTTGCTGGGTATTGAACTCAGGTCCTTGGGAAGAACAGCCAGTGCACTTAACCGCTGAGCCATCTCTCCAGCCCTTGTTTGTTTGTTTATTTGTTTATTTATTTATTTATTTTTGTTTTTTCGAGACAGGGTTTCTCTGTGGTTTTGGAGCCTGTCCTGGAACTAGCTCTTGTAGACCAGGCTGGTCTCGAACTCCCAGAGATCCGCCTGCCTCTGCCTCCCAAGTGCTGGGATTAAAGGCGTGCACCACCACCTATTTGTATTGCAGCGCTAACTATTCTGTGTTTTCTGGCTGTGCAATTCATAACATGTTTAATATGTAGTTTTGTTTTGTTTTGGTCTATGACAGGGTTTCATATAGCTCAGGTTAATCTCAAATTCACTAAGTAGCTGAGGATGGCTTTGAATTTATCATCTAGCCGGGCGGTGGTGGCGCATGCCTTTGATCCTAGTGCTTGGGAGGCAGAGGCAGGCAGATCTCTGTGAATTCAAGGCCAGCCTGGTCTACAAGAGCTAGTTCCAGGAACTTACGATTTTTCTTCCTCAGCTTCTCAAGTATTAGAATTACAGGTGTGTGCCATTGTACCTGGTTTATGTGGTTCTGGGAATCAAACTTAGTGCTTATGCATGCTAGGCAAGCACTTCTCCAACCGAGCTATACCTCCAACCTGACATGCCTTTCTGTCTATGGCTCGTCCACTCTGAAAGTGCCCAATCTTGAGTGTGCGTTTCTTATCCCTCCTGGGGCAGCTTGTGATACCATGGTAGGAGCAGACCTGGATTTGGTTGGTAGTGTGCCAGGAGTGGACTTGATCAGGTCCTTACCGTGTGGGTGGTCTCAGCAGTGCAGCCAGGAGTTACTATCCTCCTGGCCATTATACTGTCCTAATGGGGCTGCTTTGGGAGTAAATGAGATAGCAGAGTACTCAGGTTATCCTAGCTCCAGGCATATGGCTATTTCACAGAAAGCTGTTAACAATAGGAACTGCAGTGAGTGGTCAGTAGGGGACGGAATCCCTTGGAATTAATAAACTGTTATCTAAGCTAATATGGTTTAGAAATATTTGTAGATTTGGTGACATCTTCCCAAATCAAAGCCTGGTAAATTTCATACAATGAATAGAGATTAGTATATTTGATTAAAGTGTGGTAAGTCTTATGAATATTTTTAAGATATTTTTGTTTTGTTTTGTTTTTCAAGACAGGGTTTCTCTGTGTAACCCTGGCTGTCCTGGAACTCATTCTGTGGACCAGGCTGGCCTCGAACTTAGAGATCTGCTTGCCTCTGCCTCCACAGTACTGGAATTAAAGGTATATGCCACCACTGCCCAGTTTAAGGTAATTGTTTAATGTAGGTAAACATGTGTTTTATTTATATCATCAACAACAGTCTTTGAATTTCTACCACTTTAATGCTAGTTTGCTTTTACTCTTGTTCAGAAATGTACAGATCTGAATTCTTAGAGCATATTATGTATCCACAGGAAATTAGATAGCTCAGAGATTTTATATGAAACTATTTTATAATTATCATTATTCTTTCTCTCTCACAGCCTCTTTCTTATACACGTACTTGTAAAGATCTAAGATTTGAAACAATTCAGCATTGGAAGCTAAGGCCTGTGATGTCGCTTTACTAGAGCTCTCTGTGGAATTTCTTTTCTTACCTTTGCCCTGTGTCTGTCTCTCTGCAGGAGCTGACCAGTGCGCTGGTGCATTTGAAGCTTCATCTTTTCATCCAGACCTTCACACTAGCCTTCTTCCCAGCAACAATATGGCTCTTTCTTCAGCTCCTGTCAGTCACGCCCATCAATGAATGGCTTTTAAAAGGGTATGTTTAAACCTTTTGATGGGTATTCTTTTAATGGGGCAGCGCTAGTAACATTATTGTTTCCATGGCAACTGCAAACAAAAGGACTTGTGTGGTTATAAGGAAAGGAGACCACTTTTTAAATTCTGTCTGGGGGAGATGGCTCAGGGGTTGAAAGCACTGACTGCTCTTCCAGAGGACCTGGGTTCAATTCCCAGCATCCACATGGCAGCTGACAACTGTCTGTAACTTCAAAATTTGACACCCTCACACAGACATACGTTCAGGCAAAATACCAGTGCACATAAAAGTAAATAAATTAGAAAAAATCAATACTAGCTGTTAAAACAATAGCGTTTCATCAGAGGTTCAGTAAGGAATAGTTTAACAGAATCTTAAAGTAGATCCCTGTGCCTATTTTAAGGTTCCAGAATGTAGACTTTCTGAGTGTATAAAACAAGTAGGAGAGGACCTAGGGCGCTGGCTCAGTGTTGAGGAGTGCACGCTTGAGGACCTGAGAATGCCTAGAACCCCAGGGCTTTGGAGACAGGAGGTTTAATAGGCTTGCTGGCCACCAGCTTAGTTCCAGTCTCAAGGGAAGAACATGGAGATTGAGAGTATTGTAGCTGCTGCTCTCCTATGCTCCCTGGGCCTGCACAAACACATGCACCCCGCTGCTTCACAGAGTGAACAGCAGAAGACACTGGAGGCCTCCAGATCAGTCTGCATGGGAATGTAGGCTCTCCGCTGGACCTTACCTTGGCCATCTGTATCTTTCCAAGCATGGACTACCGTGGCTGAGTGCAGTGCCCATTTTTAAATCGTACAATAAAAGGATATGTGTGCCACAGATGTTTAATTTTTTATTTACTCTGTTGTTGTTTTAGTTAATTTAGCAGTAGAGTCATTAGAATAGTTTCTTTCATGATAAATGTTACCATGTTTAATGGAAAGAACTGAACAATTGAAAAATTAATTAGAATAGTTTAAAACTAACCTCACTTGAGCATCATGTTATAGCTGCTAAATCACCGACCCCAGAGCTCAGAGGTTGTCCTCTGAGCCTACCCTGACACTCTATGACTTCCAGTAAAGTTATCTCATAGTTTAGACCTGCTTTTCTCTGTATAAACACATCCTTAATAATGACGTTGACTGTATCAAATCTTTCCATTCATGGCATGATTTCTTTGTGTGCTGAGGATTATTTCTGAAGTTGGAGAAAGTATAGCAGACAAAAGTGGTCATGTGCTGGTGAATTGCCCAGAGGTGAGAGATACTCAGAGTAGACATCAACAGGCAGCAGGAGGGACACAATGAAAACGAGTGACGTCAGAGGAAAGGGGTGCAGTGGGTTGGGTGACCAGGCTTTTGAGGAACTCTCATTCTTCCCAGAGTTCTTGGAGAGAATATTCTTGGGAAAGGAAGCAATCTACAAAGGCACTGAGGCGGAAACAAGCCTGGGGAGTTTGTAGACAGGTTCAGCAAAGCAGGCCAGTGGGCATGTGCTGGTCATGTGGCGGAAGGGCGGCAGGATTTGGAGAGCACTGTGTTGAGGACTTACCTGGAAGCTGCAGGAAGCTGCTTCATGGGGTGTAGTGAGGGATGCGAGGCCTGCTTGCATGGGACTCTTGGTCGTGATGTGGATAGCAGGGGCTTGAGAGGAAGCCAGGGGAACAGGTGTGGAGGCTCGTGGAATGTGGAAGCGCGATGGACAGATGAGTGTGGTGGGACTGATGGGAACTTCGAGTTTCTGTGACCTCTGTCTGGGGAGGCTGTGGCCGTCACCAGGAGACTGAGGCTTCAGGGTTGAGCCACAGCGTGAATGCCAACTTGGGGACACCTTGGCCTAGAAGTAGGAAGGGAGGTCAGGAGTGCACTTTTCACCATACTGCACTTCAGAGAAGGAGCACTGCCTCTCACGAGCAGAGGTAAAATGCCACACAAATAAGGCGACTTCTTTTCAGAGCAGTGATGTAATTCTGTGTACTACGAGTCAGGAAATACTGAGCATCCGCTGTGCGTGGGGCATGCAACGAGTAGGAAGTTTTTTTTTTTTTTCAGGGAACTCCCAATCCAATTGAATACATGGAACATATATATGCTATATGTGTGGGACACACACACACACACACACGAAGAATGGTGCTCAACAAGGTTTGTGTCTGCCTAGAGTAGAGGGCTACAAAATGAGGCATTAGTGAGGGACATAAGATTTCTTTAGGGTCATCCCAGCAGAGTCTTTTAGTACCGGGCTGAAGAATCTGGGGCTTGAGGCTGTAGATAAGAGACCGCTTACAAAAGCGTGAAGCTGAGAGACTCGGGTTCTCAGAGGTGGTCCTCAGAAAGAGCCTTCTGATGGCACCTGATGTTTTTATGAGGGGAGTAGCACCTGTCATCTGTGACGAGGTAGAATAGGTCGTGCGACCCCCACCAGGATGTCAGAGGGACCCACACTTGCTGTCCCTCATTTTAGCTCTTTCGGTCTCCCTTGGCCTCCCTAGCATGTTTATGTTCTGGGTTGCTCTTCGGTTGCTGGGACAAGCTCTGTGACCAGTAGCAGCTTTGGAAGGGTTCATTTCATATACATCAGGTAAGAGTCCTTTACTGCGGGAAGTGAAAGCGGGAGCTCAAGGCAGAAGCCTGGAGGCAGGCACTAAAGCAGGGACCATGGAAGAACGTTGCTTGTATTGCTTGCTGGCTTGCTCTCTGTGCCTTACCTTTCTTAAACAACCCAGGCCCACTTGTGGTGCTGCCCACAGAGTGTTAGGTTCGCCTATATCGTGTAGTAATCAAGAAAATGTCTCACAGACCATGTTATTGGCCAAGCGTATTCAGACATTCCCTTAATTGAGGTTCCTTTTTCCAAGGTTTTGTCAAGGTGACAGTAGAAACTAGTCAGTTGAGTTAGTTGGAAGGAGGACAGGCTCTACCTCAGAATCATGGTAGGGAAATGTGGGTAGCAGAGTCGGGTTAGAACCACTCAGCAGTGACGGATGGAACCTTCTTCTGAAGCTCTGTTGTATTTCTCAGGGTTATCATTAGTAATAAGGGTTAATATCAGCTTGATATGTTCTGCTGCAGTACTAGGGAGGCTACAGCAGGAAGACTGGGAATTTCCGGCTCAGGCTGTCCTTGGTTACAAGGTGAGTTCAAGCCAGGTCAGGTCTCAGAAAACCAGCCCACTAACCAAACAAAAACCAAAACAAATCTTACCAGATCCCTGTTCTTACTTTATTTGAGTGACAGGCCTCAATTTGTTGCCCAGGCTGGCTTCTCCTGACAGTGTTTGTGTGCTGTGTCCTTGATGAACTTTCCTTCTGGTGAGGCCATGCTCTGTTGAAATATTGCGGAATGGTCTTCAGTTTAGTCTTAGATTTACTGCCCGTAATTTGGCTTTCCTGGCTCGCAGTTTATTCTCTACACTAACTGAGAGGATAGGCTCACTGTCGTGACCATGGACATATGAGCTTTATTTAATAAAAACATATAAAGTAGCTATGGGAATCCACTCTGGGTCTGAATTCAAGAAGTGTGAGATAGTATTACTGCCTCCAACATGACTTTACAACATGAGAATGTTGTTTATGTGATGAAAGTTGAGAATTGTAAAATGTAAACTTCTGTTTTATCAAATATTTTTGAGCATTAGATGTCATCTTTAGGCTTCATTTGTTACCAAAAGATCTTCTATAAAAATACAAGGCAGATTTTCTTTTGGGACAGAGGTTCTTTGTGTTGCCAGTATTGTCTTTGAGCTCATGTTCCTCTGCCCCACCTTCCGCTGAGCTGTGAACACAGGTGTGTACTGTTGTACTAGTTCCACGGGGAGAGATCTATGGCAATAACCAAGATTATAGTATCCATTTTAATTATCGTTCAGTGATTCCACTTACTATAGCCTGCTTGTTGTTTGAACTCCGTAATCAAAGTTGTGTGTGTGTGTGCGCGCGCGCACGCGCGCGCGCGCGCGCGCGCGCGCGTGGGCAGTGCTGGGATGGATCATAGGCCTGCTGTATTTGATGTGTGCAAAGGATGACACCAGGGCACTGTGCATGTTAAACAAGCACTCTGCCAGCTGAACTAAACCCCAGCCCTTCAAAGTTTGAATACGTTAAAAAATAAAACCATGTAAGCCTGTATAATGTCAGGAGCTCTCAGGGCCCACACATTTGCCATATCTTCTGATCCATGTTGTCCCGTAGTGTCTCAGCTCAACACGGAGAGTATACCAACAAACACTGTTATCTTTGATTTATAACTGGAAATGAGGAACTATTTACAACTGGATTTTCTTTTATTTTTCAGTTTGCAGACAGTAGGTTGCATGCCTCCCCCTGTGTCTTCCGCTGTGATTTTAACCAAGGCAGTTGGTGGAAATGAGGTGAGTCATGGGGATAACCTTATCTAAACACAAGTGTGCGCTGTGCTTCTGTGTGGTTCAATCATTGCAGAGAACTCCTGTGAGCTGCTTATGAACGACTTGGCTGTTTGCATGCACGGAGGCTGATGTGTGGAACTAGAGTTTCTAATGAACACAGAGAGAGGAGTGAAATGGAGATGGTGACCTTCCTATCTTGGTGGGAAGCTGAGGGATGAAGGGCAGAGTCCAAACTCACTGACTCGAGGCTGTGGCCACTTCCTAAAAAAAAAGATAAATTGAATTATTGGGTTAAGTATGTTTATAAATATAGATGATATCAAATAAGGAATCAGACCACATTTCTAGGATGAGTTCAAAGAAATTCCCCAACTGTGCAAGAGTTCACTTACAGCTGTTCAGAAGCTCCTTCCTCAGTTGAAAGGCCCCAAAAAGTTATCCTAAGGGACCTTCCTTTTGCCCTCCATTTTTATGTGAAAAAAGTGATCTTGGGGAGCTGGAATAGTGTTTCCCACTCATCCCTAGGGTTCTGCTTCCTTAGCACGTCCTATAGTTTCCATCCACTTACTGCTTCTAAAAGCACCTAACGGAATGTCTGCTGCATTCTTTTAAAAAATAGCTATGTTGGGCTGGAGAGATGGCTCAGTGGTTAAGAGCATTGCCTGCTCTTCCAAAGGTCCTGAGTTCAATTCCCAGCAACCACATGGTGGCTCACAACCACCTGTAAGGAGGTCTGGCGCCCTCTTCTGGCCTTCAGGCATACAGACACAATATTGTATACATAATAAATAAATAAATAAATAAAATAAAAAATAGCTATGTTAATCTTACTACATATGATAAACTCTACACATATCTATCATCTAGATACCATCTATCGATCATATCTGTCATCAGTCTGTCATTGATGTGACCAATTATACACTATCAATTTACCACCTATCTATAAATTATTCATCAATATCTACTATCATCTAATTTATGATATGATCCTTGTATCATTTATCTAGCTACTTGTCATTTTTGAACCAATATTTATTATCTATCTAGCTATTATCTGTTTATTCATCTATTTATCTATGTATCATTTACCTGTCATTTGTGTGTCTATCCTCTCCCTACGTCTGTGAAACCATCATTTAAAGTGAAGACAGGCATCGTGGTTGCACATTTTTTCCAGCACTGTTTAGCATCTTGGAGCAGGAATGGAATGAAGTAGGAATGCTCACTTGAGCATTTTATTTGCCACTCAGTTCGGTATATCTAATCTAGAGCCCGAGTTAATTCGCTCTAAGATACTGTGTATCTCACTTAAGAGGAACGGCTAGACTGCAGTTGTGAGCATCCCCTCGCTTCCTGTGTCCACTCTGTGCCGCTCTCAGAGTCCTGAAGTTGGCAATTGTGAAGAGCAGAGAATTCCGGGGTGGAGACCTGCATTTGCTGAGCTTTTCCTTGGTGTACCATCCATCGCCTGGGTGAAGGGGGAAGAGAGAGCAGGAGAAGGACCTCATAGCCTTAAGCCCCTTTTTATTTAGAATTAATTTATTCTTGAGGGTGAATCTCCCCTGTACCTCTCCTTAGGATGCAGCACCCAGTGTTAGAGAAGTGGTTCTCAACCTTCCCTTTAATACGGTTCTGCGTGTTGTCCTGACTCCCCAACCATAAAACGTTTTCATTGCTACTTCGTCACTGTCGTTTTGCTTCTGTTACGGATTGTAATATAAATATCTGATATGGAGGGTGGTCTTCGACAACCCCTGTGAAAGGACCGATTAACCCCAAAGGGGTCACTCACAACCCACAGATGGAGAGACGCTGTGTCAGAGGTTAAGTTTCCAGTGAGTAAATTCTGGGGGTACACTCACTTTACCTTTTGTTCTTTGGAGACAGGGTCTTGCTATGTTGCCCAGCCTGGCCTTGAGCCAGGCTGATCCCTCTGCCTCTGCCTTCCCAGCAGTAGTGACTGCAGACTTGCTGCTACATCTGCTGTGGGGGACTACTCAAAGCCAGCACCCTGCAAAGTCTCCTGTGTCCCTTTGTCACCCCTTCCTCTCGCCCTTCCTAGCACCCCTCTTCAGGGTGTAGGTGACCTTGGATCTGTTTCTGTCACCTGACATCAGCTTGCATATCCCAGGGTTTTATGGAATAGAACTGTGCAGTATTCCTTTGGTGCTGTTTTCTTTCCTGACTTCTAGTACTCGTAATTATTTTGTGTTCATCGGTCCTTTAAGCTTTTATTTATTAAATGATTTTGATTGTGGGTGGTGTTCTGCAGGGGTGCAGATTGTTTATCCACTCACCTGTTGATAGACACGTGGACAGTTTCCAGTTTGGAGGGGAGGGGTGAGCACAACACCTTTGTTGTTGTTGTTGTTGTTGTTTTGTTTTTCGAGACAGGGTTTCTCTGTAGCTTTGGTGCCTGTCCTGGAACTAGCTCTATAGACCAGGCTGGCCTCGAACTCACAGAGATCTGCCTGCCTCTGCCTCCCGAGTGCTGGGATTAAAGGCGTGCGCCACCACCACCTGGCCTCATGCACACGTTTTAACCAGACATGCACTGCTATTTAATATATTAGTGGAATACTTGGGTCCTTTGACTTTTTTTATTGCCTTTGGATCAAAAAGTGTCATCTTTATATGTCCTGTCCATAGTTTCTGAAGTGGATAGTTTCTAACACTGGACAAAACTCTTTCTATGTCAAAATGGAGGTTTAACTGTTGATAGAAATTTTCAAAGTAGTTGTATTGTTTTACATGCAAATGTTCTGCAACCTGGTCATCACTCAATCTTGTCAGCTTTAAATTTTTAACATTCTTATATATCCATATAAGTTTTTTCTCATTATGGTTTTAATTAAATTTGCGTATCCTAGTGACTAATAGTGTTCAGTATCTTAATTGTGCTTATTCACCCTCTGTCTAAATGTCTTCTTGGCCAAAGTGCCTATTAAATCTTTGGCTCATATTTTAGAATTGAGTGGTTTGTTTTCCTATAAGCATTGAGAAATTTGTTTTTGATATAGAGCTCTTCATCAGATATATACACTGTCAACATTGTCCCCAGTCTTGTGTCTTGCCTTTCACTTCTCTCGGTGTGACATGCAAGATGGTAAAGGCAGGAAAAGGTGTTTGGATTCTGCTGTGTTTTGACGGCACATGATGTGCTGATGTGTACATGTGACTCAAGGGAAAATGAGGGTCCAGACTGATTCCAGAGGTTTGGACTGAGCAGTGGAGAACATAGTGTTGCTCATGGAGAACACTGCTGTGTGGGATCGGGTTTTAGGGAGTGCTGGCCTAGGATGCTAGGGTATGATGGGATTCCTAAGATTCCCAAGCCTCTCTAGTAAAGCCTATACATTTACTCACACTTGCGCATATTTATTCCTTGCTCATAATTTGTACTCCTAACGGTTTAACAGGGAAGTCTGGAGGTGCTCTTGTCTGGTCGGAACAACATTTGCACGGAATACAGAGTTTTCAGCAGCCATAACATGGGGTGAGAAGGGGGAAACTGATACTTGAAAACCACAGACTGAACTTTCCTTACCAGGCTGGCAGTGCTGGTAAGGAAATAGTGCTGGTAATTCTATAGAGCTGTAAATTGCCACTGGATGCTGGGAACTGAAGCCGGGTCCCCTGTAACAGCAGTGTGCTCTTGAGTGTGCACGCTGGGAACTGAAGCCGGGTCCCCTGTAACAGCAGTGTGCTCTTGAGTGTGCACGCTGGGAACTGAAGCCGGGTCCCTGTAACAGCAGTGTGCTCTTGAGTGTGCATGCTGGGAACTGAAGCCAGGTCCCTGTAACAGCAGTGTGCTCTTGAGTGTGCACGCTGCAGCCCTAGCAGTGCCACTTTCCACGGTGCTTCTCTCTGCAATGTTGTTAGATGCCTTGGGGGAACATAGTTTTCAGTTATTTATATACCTTCCATTTAAAATTATTTCTTTTTTATTTTATGTTTTATGTGCATTGGTGTTTTGCCTACATGTACGCCTGTGTAAAGGTGCCAGATCCTCTGGAACCAGAGTTAGAGACAGTTGTGAGCTTCCATGTGGGTGCTGGGAATTAAACCTGGGTCCCCTGGAAGAGCAGTCAGTATTCATAACCTCTGAGCCAGCTCTCCAGCCCCTATTAATTATTTCTTTTTTAAAAATTGTTTTTCTTGAACTATATATTTTTCTCTGATAACCTCCCTTCCTCTCCCCTCCCCTTCTACCCTCTCCCATGGTTCCCATGCTCCCAATTTATTCAGGAGATCTTGACTTTTTCTGCTGTACGGAATCCTACTGCCAGTACTCTTTAAGTTACCCGCCCACTTGGCCGTGGCCTCTGGTACTACATATGCTCATGTAAACCTGCGTCCAGCCTCTTTTCTGCCCCCATTCCAGCAGAGGACTGTGATCTGTGATTCTACCCCTAAATAAATAACCTTTTATTACACTCAGTTCTGAGCTAGTGTGGGGTTTCTTTTTTACTGTCTGTCTGCATTTTTATCCTTTCCATGAAGATTAGATCTATGTATGTCTCTCTTAGGGTCCTCTTTGTTGTCTAGGTTCTCTGGGATTGTGAATTATAGACTTTTTTTTATGTCTAAAAGCCATTTACGAGTGAGTATGTATGATATTTGTCCTTCTGGATCTGGGTTACTTCACTCAATATGATAGTTACTAGATCCATCCATTTGCTCACAAATTCCAAAATGTCATTATTTTTTTCTGTTGTATAGTATTCCATTGTGTAAATGTACCACATTTTCCTTATCCATTCTTCTGTTGAGGGGCATTTAGGTTGTTTCCAGGTCCTGGCTATAACAAACAATGCTGCTATGATCATAGTTGAGGACATGTCCTTGTGGCATGATTGAGCATCCTTTGGATATATACCCAAAAGTGGTATTATTAGGTCTTGAGGTAGGTTATTTCCTAATTTTCTGAGAAATCGCCACACTGACATCCAGAGGGATTGTGCCAGCTTGCACTCCCACCAGCAATGCAGGAGTGTTCC